GGACATCAACCGAATCTTTCAGTGGGCTGCAGAAAACAATATGAAGTTCAACGATGAGAAATTTCAATTACTCAGATATGGTAAACACGAGGAAATTAAATCTTCATCAGAGTACAAAACAAATTCTGGCCACAAAATAGAGCGAAACACCAACGTCAAAGACCTGGGAGCGATCATGTCGGAGGATCTCACCTTCAAGGACCATAACATTGTATCAATCGCATCTGCTAGAAAAATGACAGGATGGATAATGAGAACCTTCAAACTAGGGAGGCCAAGCCCATGATGACACTCTTCAGGTCACTTGTTCTATCTAGGCTGGGAATATTGCTACACACTAACAGCACCTTTCAAGGCAGGTGAAATTGCTGACCTAGAAAATGTACAGAGAACCTTAAAGGCGCGCATAACGAGATAAAACACCTCAATTACTGGGAGCGCTTGAGGTCCTGAACCTGTATTCCCTGAACACAGGCGGGAGAGATACATGATTATATACACCTGGAAAATCCTAGAGGGACTAGTACCGAACTTGCACACGAAAATCATCACTACGAAAGCAAAAACTTGGCAGACGATGCAACATCCCCCCTATGAAAAGCAGGGGTGTCACTAGCACGTTAAGAGACCATACAATAAGTGTCAGGGGCCCGAGACTGTTCAACTGCCTCCCAGCATACATAAGGGGGATTACCAACAGACCCCTGGCAGTCTTCAACCTGGCACTGGACAAGCACCTAAAGTCGGTTCCTGACCAGCCGGGCTGTGGCTCGTACGTTGGTTTGCGTGCAGCCAGCAGCAACAGCCTGGTTGATCAGGCTCTGATCCACCAGGAGGCCTGGTCACAGACCGGGCCGCGGTGGCATTGACCCCTGGAACTCTCTCCAGGTAAACTCCAGGTAAACTCCATGTAGCTACAGGAAGGGAGAGGAATTATTTATTTTTTAAGCTAACACACGTGTAATTTTACCTTATTCCTAGTAATGACCCTCGTATTGTAGATAGTCTTAATGATCCTCGTATTGTAGATAGTCTTAATGATCCTCGTACTGTAAATAGTCTTAATGATCCTCGTATTGTAGATAGTCTTAATGATCCTCGTACTGTAAATAGTCTTAATGACCCTCGTATTGTAGATAGTCTTAATGATCCTCGTATTGTAGATAGTCTTAATGATCCTCGTACTGTAAATAGTCTTAATGATCCTCGTATTGTAGATAGTCTTAATGATCCTCGTATTGTAGATAGTCTTAATGATCCACGTATTGTAAATATTCTTAATGACCCTCGTATTGTAGATAGTCTTAATGATCCTCGTATTGTAGATAGTCTTAATGATCCTCGTATTGTAAATAGTCTTAATGACCCTCGTATTGTAGATAGTCTTAATGATCCTCGTATTGTAGATAGTCTTAATGATCCTCGTATTGTAAATATTCTTAATGATCCTCGTATTGTAGTCTTAATGATCCTCGTATTGTAGATAGTCTTAATGACCCTCGTATTGTAGATATTCTTAATGATCCTCGTATTGTAGATAGTCTTAATGACCCTCGTATTGTAGATATTCTTAACGACCCTCGTATTGTAGATAGTCTTAATGATCCTCGTATTGTAGATAGTCTTAATGACCCTCGTATTGTAGATAGTCATAATGACCCTCGTATTGTAGATAGTCTTAATGACCCTCGTATTGTAGATAGTCTTAATGACCCTCGTATTGTAGATAGTCTTAATGATCCTCGTATTGTAGATAGTCTTAATGACCCTCGTATTGTAGATAGTCTTAATGACCCTCGTATTGTAGTGTTAATGACCCTCGTATTGTAGATATTCTTAATGATCCTCGTATTGTAGATAGTCTTAATGACCCTCGTATTGTAGATATTCTTAATGATCCTCGTATTGTAGATAGTCTTAATGACCCTCGTATTGTAGATATTCTTAATGATCCTCGTATTGTAGATAGTCTTAATGACCCTCGTATTGTAGATATTCTTAATGATCCTCGTATTGTAGTCTTAATGACCCTCGTATTGTAGATAGTCATAATGACCCTCGTATTGTAGATAGTCTTAATGATCCTCGTATTGTAGATAGTCTTAATGACCCTCGTATTGTAGATAGTCATAATGACCCTCGTATTGTAGATAGTCTTAATGACCCTCGTATTGTAGATAGTCTTAATGACCCTCGTATTGTAGATAGTCTTAATGATCCTCGTATTGTAGATAGTCTTAATGACCCTCGTATTGTAGATAGTCTTAATGACCCTCGTATTGTAGTGTTAATGACCCTCGTATTGTAGATATTCTTAATGATCCTCGTATTGTAGATAGTCTTAATGACCCTCGTATTGTAGATATTCTTAATGATCCTCGTATTGTAGATAGTCTTAATGACCCTCGTATTGTAGATATTCTTAATGATCCTCGTATTGTAGATAGTCTTAATGACCCTCGTATTGTAGATAGTTATAATGACCCTCGTATTGTAGATAGTCTTAATGACCCTCGTATTGTAGATAGTCTTAATGACCCTCGTATTGTAGATAGTCTTAATGATCCTCGTATTGTAGATAGTCTTAATGACCCTCGTATTGTAAATAGTCTTAATGACCCTCGTATTGTAGATAGTCTTAATGACCCTCGTATTGTAGATATTCTTAATGATCCTCGTATTGTAGATAGTCTTAATGACCCTCGTATTGTAGATATTCTTAATGATCCTCGTATTGTAGATATTCTTAATGATCCTCGTATTGTAGATAGTCTTAATGACCCTCGTATTGTAGATAGTCTTAATGACCCTCGTATTGTACATAGTCTTAATGATCCTCGTATTGTAGATAGTCTTAATGACCCTCGTATTGTACATAGTCTTAATGATCCTCGTATCGTAGATAGTCTTAATGACCCTCGTATTGTAGATATTCTTAATGATCCTCGTATTGTAGATAGTCTTAATGAGCCTCGTACTGTACATAGTCTTAATGACCCTCGTATTGTAGATAGTCTTAATGACCCTCGTATTGTAGTCTTAATGATCCTCGTATTGTAGATATTCTTAATGATCCTCGTATTGTAGATATTCTTAATGATCCTCGTATTGTAGATAGTCTTAATGACCCTCGTATTGTAGATAGTCTTAATGACCCTCGTATTGTAGTCTTAATGACCCTCGTATTGTACATAGTCTTAATGACCCTTGTATTGTACATAGTCTTAATGATCCTCGTATTGTAGATAGTCTTAATGACCCTCGTATTGTAGATATTCTTAATGATCCTCGTATTGTAGATATTCTTATTGACCCTCGTGTAGTAGAAAGTCTTAATGACCCTCGTGTAGTAGATAGTCTTAATGACCCTCGTGTAGTAGATAGTCTTAATGACCCTCGTGTAGTAGAAAGTCTTAATGACCCTCGTGTAGTAGAAAGTCTTAATGACCCTCGTGTAGTAGATATTCTTAATGACCCTCGTGTAGTAGATAGTCTTAATGACCCTCGTGTAGTAGATAGTCTTAATGACCCTCGTGTAGTAGAAAGTCTTAATGACCCTCGTGTAGTAGAAAGTCTTAATGACCCTCGTGTAGTAGATATTCTTAATGACCCTCGTGTAGTAGATAGTCTTAATGACCCTCGTGTAGTAGATAGTCTTAATGACCCTCGTGTAGTAGAAAGTCTTAATGACCCTCGTGTAGTAGAAAGTCTTAATGACCCTCGTGTAGTAGAAAGTCTTAATGACCCTCGTGTAGTAGAAAGTCTTAATGACCCTCGTGTAGTAGATATTCTTAATGACCCTCGTGTAGTAGATAGTCTTAATGACCCTCGTGTAGTAGAAAGTCTTAATGACCCTCGTGTAGTAGAAAGTCTTAATGACCCTCGTGTAGTAGAAAGTCTTAATGACCCTCGTGTAGTAGAAAGTCTTAATGACCCTCGTGTAGTAGAAAGTCTTAATATTATGATAATAAGATGTTATCTCCATTAGTGAATAATAATAATATATTATCACCTTTATATAATAAGGTAAAAGACCACAATGGAAATAAGTCACTCAGTCTGACTTGTTGAGTTACCCCAGGTTATCCCAGGTTATCCCAGGTTATCCCAGGTTATCCCAGGTTCTCTACACATATGCTGCTGTGTATGATAATCTATGTAACTGTATTGTGTATACCTGAATAAACTTACTTACTTAGAGGTGTTAGACCATAACTGATGGAAAGTTAGGAAGCTGAGGTTATCAGAGATGAGTAACACCTTTATTTCTCTCAAACTGACTTTTTTTATTAATTTATTAAGACATCGGCCTTCTCCCATTATGGCAGGGTGGCCCACCATGGCAGGGTGGCCCACCAAGGCAGGGTGGCCCACCAAGGCAGGGTGGTTCACTAAGGCAGGGTGGTCCACCAAGGCAGGGTGGCCCACTAAGGCAGGGTGGTCCACCAAGGCAGGGTGGCCCACTAAGGCAGGGTGGTCCACCAAGGCAGGGTGGTCCACCAAGGCAGGGTGGTCCACCAAGGCAGGGTGGCCCGAAAAAGAAAAACTTTCACCATCATTCACTCCATCACTGTCTTGCCAGAAGGGTGCTTTTCACTACAGTTTTTAAACTTCAACATTAACACCCCTCCTTCAGAGTGCAGGCACTGTACTTCCCATCTCCAGGACTCAAGTCTGGCCTGCCGGTTTCCCTGAACCCCTTCATAAATGTTACTTTGCTCACACTCCAACAGCACGTCAAGTATTAAAAACCATTTGTCTCCATTCACTCCTATCAAACACGCTCACGCATGCCTGCCGGAAGTCCAAGCCCCTCGCACACAAAACCTCCTTTACCCCCTCCCTCCAACCTTTCCTTGCCCGACCTCTACCCCCCCTCCCCCCTCCACTACAGACTCATACACTCTCGAAGTCATTCTATTTACTTCCATCCTCTCTACATACAAATATTAATAATACCGATGATTTTTTTACTAGTTCTATTATTTTCTTTGTTACAGATGTGAAGTCTTCGTCGCCGAACGTCTGGTATGTGTCTTTCATTATATATATATATATATATATATATATATATATATATATATATATATATATATATATATATAATATATATATATATATATATCCACACAATATCCAGTATGGATTTAAAGACTTTTGTAAGTGGTCAGAGTTGGAAAAAACGTCGTCATAAGCTCCTCTCTCCTATGTGCGGGTTTTTATATTGTTCCAGTCACGGTATTGTGCCTTATTGTTCCTTACCCTAAAAATCTTTTCAAAGTCTATGACAAAGTAGGGAAGGTGAGACAGGAGAGGCATGGCGGGAATCCATAATATTTGATATTGTACATCATTAGAAACTAGGACTTAAACGTAAGATGCAGACTTAAATACTGTAATAATGAATGTTGTGCGATGGATCAAAGAGTCTTCAGATAATGAAACAGTAATATACAGATAACAGATGTCAGAATTATCTAAAAAAAACAAGTAGTGTTCTGTGTACAGTTGTGTACAGCGACTCTGACATACAGGCCAACGCCCCCTTGTTGTCTGTTTAGTCTGTAGCATCGGAATAGGTTATAACCTGGGATCTATATTTCGTTGTAATAATGATCATTAAGTGGGTCTCTGTGAATGCTACAAACATTGCATTTGACTCCGTGAGCAGTCCCTTGGTGGTAGAGTCACGTGGGGTTGACAGGTGGTGGAATCACCTAAGGTTGAGACAGGTGGTGGAGTCACGTAGAGTTGACAGGTTGAGTCACGTAGGGTTGAGACAGGTGGTGGAGTAACGTAGGATTGAGACAGGTGGTGGAGTCACGAAGGGTTGAGACAGGTGGTGGAGTCACGAAGGGTTGAGACAGGTGGTGGAATCACGTAGGGTTGGCACAGGTGGTGACTAGCCGCGTACTGATAATGACTTGTGCCACTAGATGATGGTGAATGACTGATGTTGGTGCCCAGTTGATCAGGCCCTGATCCATCGGGAGGCCTGGTCGTGGACCGGGCCGCGGGGGCGTTGATCCCCGGAATAACCTCCAGGTAACCTCCAGGTATCATAGCTATCGTCACGCTGGAAGATACCTTCCACACTGAGGAACTATCGTCACGCTGGAAGATACCTTCCACACTGAGGAACTATCGTCACGCTGGAAGATACCTTCCACACTGAGGAACTATCGTCACGCTGGAAGAGCCTCCACACTGAGGAACTATCGTCACGCTGGAAGACAGCCTCCACATTGAGGAACTATCGTCACGCTGGAAGACAGCCACCGGTGGTCTGGTGGCTAAAGCTCCCGCTTCACACACGGAGGGCCCGGGTTCGATTCCCGGCGGGTGGAAACATTTGACACGTTTCCTTACACCTGTTGTCCTGTTCACCTAGCAGCAAATAGGTACCTGGGTGTTAGTCGACTGGTGTGGGTCGCATCCTGGGGGACAAGATTAAGGACCCCAATGGAAATAAGTTAGACAGTCCTCGATGACGCACTGACTTTCTTGGGTTATCCTGGGTGGCTAACCCTCCGGGGTTAAAAATCCGAACGAAATCTTATCTTATCTAAATGTTCCCACACACAGTGTTGGAGGTGTGGAGACTCCTCTGGTTAATTATAAATTAATTATCCACACATGTGACTCAGGCGCTGTAACTGCTAACCAGGCTGTTATGAAAGGCCTGAGACATGCAAAAGAAAATATTAACATACATACAGGAGAGGTGACAGTGACTGAAGGCCACAACAATACTACGTATGGTCATTACAATTACAATTAAACAATCAACAAATACAATCCTACCAGAGCAGGTGGAAATCTGTATCAAAGTGAATTCCTACTGGAGCCAAACTTAGCCAGTAAGGTATCCAGGTGGTGTTGCAGTAAAGTTATCCAGGTGGTGTTGCAGTAAAGTTATCCAGGTGGTGTTGCAGGAAAGCTATGTAGGTGGTGTTGTTGGCCACAAAACTCTCCCCCCTCGCTCCACTAAACTACCATTTTAACCACACTAACCTAATTTAAAAGTTGGGTTACAAAAAGGGGGAAAATAGGGGAAATTAGGGGGTTTTTAAAATAATATAATTTGGAAAAAGGGGGGCCCCCCCCCGGGGGGGGAAAAATAGGAATTTAAAACCCCTTTAAAAAAATACAAAAAAGGACTTTTAAAAGGAAATAAAAAAGGGGAAAAGAGTAAAACCCTAAGGGGAAAAGGGGAAAAAAAAGGGGAAAAAAGGGGAAATTTTGGGAAACCTACAAGGGAAAGGGGGTATTGGGGTGAAAAAACCCCCCCTTTGGGAATAAAAATAAAAGGAAAAAAACTACAAGGGAATGAATAAAAAGAATGGGAAAGTTTTTAAAATTAATTAAAGGAATCCCAAGGGTTTTTTTAAAATTTATGAAATAAAAAAAAAAAAATAACCTTTAGGAAAGGAAAAAAAAAGAAAAATTTAACTAAAAAATGGAAAATAAAAAATATTTGGCCCTATAAAAAAACCCCCCCAAAAAGGGGGAAATAAAGGAAATAAAAAAAGGAAGGGATTTTAAAATGGGGTGCCATAAAAATTTTGAAATAAATAAAAATTTAAAAAAAAAAATAATAAAAATTTTTCTTTTTAAAAACCTTAAGTTAAGTGACATAAAAGTGAAAAAGGTGACAAAAAAGTAAACAAAGGAATACAAAAGTACTAAAGGAATCAAAAATGATTTAAAAGGGGAACAAAAGGAAAGGGAAACTAAAGGCTTGGAATACTATAAAAATGAACTAAAAAAAGGGGGGCTAAAAGGGGGGAAAAACATAAGGGGGGGCTATAAAAGTGAATAAAAATAGTTATAAGGAACAAAAAGTGAAAAAGAGGAAACTAAAAGGGAGTGAACTATAAGAGAGTGAGCATAAGGAGAGGAATAAAGGAGAGTAAACTATAAGGAAGTGACTTAAGGGAAGTGGCTATAAGGAAGGGGACTAAAGAATGACAAAAGGAAAGGGGAAACTATAAGGGAGTGTAAAAGGGAAAAAATAGCTATAAAATGAGCTATAAAAAAAAAGGAATGACTATAAGGAGGTGAACTATAAGGAGAGGAGTAAAAGGGAGATGACTAAAAGGAAGTGACAAAAAGGAAGTGACTATAAGGGAGTGACTATGGGAAGTGCTAAAGGAGAGTGAATAAAGGAAGTGACTATAAGAATGACAATAAGGAGAGTAAAACTTAGGAGAGTACTATAAGAGTGAACTATAAAGAGTAAACTATAAGAAGTAAACAAAGGAATGACTATAAGGAGAGTGACTAAAAGATAGGCTAAAAGGGAGAGGACTAAAGGAATACAAAAATTTAAAAAGGGAATGACTATAAGGAAGTAAACTAAAGGAGAGTGAGCTAAAGGAGAGTAAACTAAAGGAGAGTAAACTATAAGGAATGACTAAAGGAAGTGACTATAAGGAAGTAAACTAAAGGAAGTGAGCTATAAAGAGGGCTAAAAGGGAGAGTGACTAAAGGAGGTGAGCAAAGGGGAAAAGGTGACATAAAAGAGTATTTAAAAGGAGATTGGACTAAAAGGGAGAGTAAACTAAAGGAAAATGACTAAAGGAATTGATAAAGGAGAGTGAACTTAAAAAAAAGGCGAGTGAGCTAAAAGGGAAGTGAGCTATAAGGAGAGGACTATAAGGAGAGTAAACTAAAGGGAATGACAAAAGGGAAAGGGTTTAACATAAGGAATGACTAAAGGGAGAAGGAAAAAAGGAAGGACTATAAGGAAGTGATAAAAGGGAAGGACTAAAAGGGAGAGTAGCTATAAGGAGGGGTGGTATAAGGAGAGTAAACTATAAGGAGAGTGACAAAAAATTTAAAAGAGTATATAAAGGGGGTAAAGGGAATATATAAATACTAAAGGAAGAACATAAAAGTAAACAAAAAGGAAATTAAATATTAAAAAAAGAGGGAAAAAAAAACCTTTTTAAAGGACAAAAAAAGTGAAAAAGGAATGACAAAAAAAACTAAAAATGACATAAAATAGTTGGGAAAATGACATAAAAAACATAAAATATTTAAAAAGGGACTAAAAAAGTAAACATAAAAGGACAAAAAAACTTAAGAAACATAAGACCAAAAATGACAAAAAGGGGGTGCCCCTAAAAAGGGGACATAAGAAAAACAAAAAAACAAAGTTGATTTGGAATACAAAAATGACATGGAGGGGAAAATAAAAGGGTGACAAAGGAATACAAAAGGAATACAAAAGGGGGGCATGGAATACTAAAAATGACAAAAGATAAATATAAAATGATATAAAAACTAAAAGGGGGTAAACAAAAGAAACTAAAAGGGGGCATAAAGGGTGAACATAAAATGACATAAGGGGTACAAAAGGGAAGTGAACATGGGAAAACGGAAAACTACAAAAGGGGACATAAGGAAAACTAAAAAGATGACATGGGGTGAAATAAAAAAGTGACAAAGGGAATACTAAAAGGTAAAACATAGAAAAAACTAAAAGGGGGACATAAAATACTAAAAAGGGGAAACAAAAGGAATATTTAAAATGACATGGGAATACAAAAAGTGACAAAACAAAAGAATAGTTAAAATAACTATAAAAGTACATAAGGAATACTAAAAATTGACATAGACTACTAAAAAGTAACATAAAGGAAACTAAATTTGACAAAAGGAAAATAATAATGACATAGGAATACAAATTACATAGGAATACTAAAGGGGTAACATAGGAAACTAAAAATTTGACATAGGGAAACAAAAAGTGACATAGGGAAAAACTAAAGTTTGACAAGGAATACATAAAATATGCTAAAAAGGACATAGAAACCTAAAAAGTTACATAAGAATACTAAAGTGACACAGGAATCCCCATTTTTAAAGTGACTATAAAGTTGCATAGGAATACTAAAAGTGACTCAGGGAATACTAAAAATGACATGGGAATACTAAAAATTGACTTAAAGTTGACTATAAAATTTGAACAAGGAATAAACCATAGTTGAATCAAAAAACTAATAGTTGACATAGGGAATATA